GGGTCCCTATGAATTTGGTGAGAATTGTTACAATTCACATAGGTGGAGAAGGGGCTCAGTTGTCTTTGTTATCACTCTTTCTTGCTGAGTTAGGGTGGGCTCCATATCAGATCTTAGAACATGTTCTAGTATCAGAAATTATGGAGAATGCTGTCTACATGTCCTTTGGGTGATATCCTCTATATAAAAGTTTACTATCTGGGAGACAAGACAGGCAGACATTTGAAAAAGGTGGAGTCTCCTGCCTTTTAAGTTTGGATTTAAGAAAGTAGGCATATTTCTGTCCGGTGCTTCAATGTAGGTCTCTGTCTCTGTCTCCTTTCATCGCCTGATGAAGGTTAATATTCAGGAGGATGCCTATATGTTTTTCATTGGGTTCTCCTTCTTATTTAGCTTCTCTAGGATCACTAATTATAGGCTCAACGTCCTTTATTTATGGCTAGAAACCAAATATGAGTGAGTACATCCCATGTTCCTCTTTTTGGGTCTGGCTTATCTCACTCAGGATAGTGTTTTCTATTTCCATCCATTTGCATGCAAAATTCAAGAAGTCCAAATCAGGAGCAGAAGGAGAGAGAGCACGAGCAAGGAATTCAGGACCACGAGGGGTGCACCCACACACTGAGAGAATGGGGATGTTCTATCGGGAACTCACCAAGGCCAGCTGGCCTGGATCTGAAAAAGCCTGGGATAAAACCGGACTCACTGAACATAGCGGACAATGAGGACTACTGAGAACTCAAGAACAATGGCAATAAGTTATTGATCCTACTGAACGTACTGGCTTTGTGGGAGCCTAGGCAGTTTGGATGCTCACCTTACTAGACCTGGATGGAGGTGGGTGGTCCTTGGACTTCCCACAGGGCAGGGACCCTGATTGATCTTTGGGCTAACAAGGGAGGGGGACTTGATTGGGGGAGGGGGAGGGAAATGGGAGGCGGTGGCGGGGAAGAATCAGAAATCTTAAATAAATAAATAAATAAATAAGAAAGCAGGCTTATTAATTAATAGAAGCCAGTAAGCAGTCATACTGCAGAAGGACAATGAGTAAGGAAGCCCATGCATGGTGTCAGAGAAAGTAAACAAAATCGATGAGCAAGGGACCCCTCCTCAATGACCTCCAAGCCTGCTAATATCTTGGTACCTTCCATCATCATCTCCAGAACAGAGACCCTAAAACCACCCAGTCAGTGAAAATCAAGTCATTCTGACTGCTTCCTACTGAAACTGGGGCTTAGGTTCTCCCTTGCTTGCCCTCTAGAGTTGAAGAGAAGATGCTGTTGTTGAAGACACCACACCCTTCAGATACAGAACTTGGAGGAACTGAGCTAGAACTGACCTGGGAGCTATCTCCTGAGGATTCTCTCTCGTAGGACATGAAGGTGTTAGTCAGGTCACCAAAGAACAAAAGCACCAATAGCCCCACCCAGCTGTAAAACCTACAACCGCCAAAGAAAATCATCACAGGAAGATATGTTCAAGGCTATGTTAGTCACTTTTATATCTTTGGCATAGCTAACAACATGATAACTGAACATAAGATCTTCCCAATTGTAGAGGTTTCATTCCTGGTGCTATAAACCTAGCCAACTACCCATGGCTGATGAGGTCATGGACCCTAAAGAGAAACCTACAGCTGCCACTCTCCTAAACTAGCATGACTCTTAACCACATTCTAAACCCTTATCCTTTCACTCCCAACTGATGATAGCTCTCGCCCTCCTCAAAGAAGCCTCTTTCTTCAGCAGACTGTGGGGTTTTGAATGACCACGGTCCCCATAGGCTCGTAGAGTCCCATGCTTAGTCCCTAGTTGATAAACTAGGAAAGATTAGCAGCGTGGCCACGTTGGGTGGGTGTATAATTTTGGAAGAGGTGTGTAGCTGGGAATGACCTTTTGCCAGAAACTAGCCTCAGCAGAGTAGTGGATCTCGAATCTGGGATGTTTGGGTGGTGAATGAATATCCAAACACAGGATTCTGATGCAAGCTGCCAGGCTATCAGCTGCGGGGCAAGTTCTTCTGCTTCTTCATCTACTTCAGCTTCTGCTTCTTCTACTTCTGCAGCTGCTGCTGCTGCTGCCCCAATCTTCAAACCCCAGTCTTTTATTGTCAATTTTACACAAGGAAAATGATTCTGTTTTCTTGCCACAGGTTAATCATTACCTGGGCAAAGCAGTTTACAAGAAGTAAAAAGATTCTTTGAAATCAGAACATCAACCAGTTTTGATTTATAAGGCCATAGGCAGTCAGCCCTAAAATCCCTAAGTTCCTCGGAAACTTTATTCATCATAACCAAGTTCTTATCTGTTTCAGTATGATTCTTTTGTCAAGTTTTATAATCAGTTAAAAAGCAATTTCTGCATTTTTCCCAAATTTCCCCAATTCTTTCATCAGTCAGGTTTTCCCCATAACCTGCTCTACAGATTCAATGCCTGCCCGCTCCGTCAGCTCAGGAAGACTCATATTATAATACAGCACATCCATATTTTCAGAAGCTACTGTGTGAAAGGAGAAAAAAAACATGAAGAACAAGTATACTAATAGAATTGCTGTGACCAGAATCATCTGTAAAATTGCCAAATGTATATGCAGGCGCCATAGAAGCAGACCTTGGGGCACGTAGCTGTTTCTCCTTGGCCCTCAACTAACAAGATCATTTAGCAACCATTGGGTTGCCTGGAAGGAATTGTTTCCTGCATCTCAAGAACAGCACGTGGAAGGGGGCTATACTCTGCTGTCTCTGGTGTTCTTTGAGTTTCAAAAGCCTATACCAGGCCCAGTGCCCCTCTTCTTTCTTTGCCTGCTGCTGGTTGATTCTGATGTAAAACTTTCAGCTATTTCTCCGGCACCACGGCTGCCTGCATGGCACCATGCTTCCCACAATGATGATGGTGAAATAGGTTCTGAAACTGTAAGTAACCCCAATTACATGCTCTTTTTTATAAGGCTTGTCTTGATCATGGTGTCTCTTCACAAGAATAGAATACTGACTAAGACAGGGACCATCATAGAAATCTGCAACTGGTTAAAATGCAGAGAATTGTTGACCATGGGAGACCCACCCACAGTTGATATGTCTATAAAATTAGCCCCACACCTGAAGGTCAGGGAACATTGAGGAAGAAGCAATGGAAAGATTCTAAGAGTCAAAGAGAAGGAAGGGCTGCTGCGAGATTGTGTCTTCAAGATAGGACTGGGAGCTGTTCTCTTGAAATCTCAAAACTAGACTCACCTAAACAAGACTACACATGACAACACAAGTTGGCATGGCAGTGTGGATGGGGAAAAGGCCCTAAAAACACATGGAAAACTAGAGACGACGGATGGCTGCTGAGAGGACAATCAGCCTTCTACAGGGACAAACCCCTGAGAGCTTACCCTATCCCGAGTGTCAGCCCTAAACATACACAAATACAAGCAACACAAAGTGAGCTCAGCAGACTGTATCCATGTATGCATATGTGTGCCTGTGTACAGTGATAATTAACGAAGAGTTCATGACGTTTACAGGGAGTGCTGAACACGGGGGAAGTTCCAGCAGAGAGGGGGTGAAGATGATGCAAATAAAGTACTCCTATATGAAAGTCTCAAAAAATTTAAATACAATTTTTAAAAGAAGGGTTTGGGGGGTCTCTACTGTTGCTGGCTGTCAGGTATTGGGCGTAATTGATGCACGATAGTTTGATTTCTGTTACTGTGATAAACGTCATGATCAAAAGCAACTTGAGGAGGAAAGGGGTTTATTCATCTAATCATCCCTGGTCACAATCCATCTTTGAAGTACATTAGGAAGGCACTCAAGGCAAGAACTCGGATGCAAGAACCATAGAGAAATGCTGCTTGCTGGCTTGCTCACTCCCCCATGCTCAACTACATTTCTTGTATAGTCCAAGTCCACCTGCATAAGGATGGTGTCTTCCACATTGGACTGGGCCCTTGAATATCAATCATCAGACAAGAGAATTTCTCACTGAAATGATCATAGGACAGTCTGATCTTGGCCATCCTTAATTGAGAGTGTTTCAGATAACTCTAGACTGTAGGGCTGTAGGGGCAATAGAGAGGGGGAACAGTAGGGTACAAGAGATCCCACAGAGGAAATGGAAAAACCAGGGGATCTAATTAGAAAAAGGAGAGGAGATCAATACAGATGGAGGGAGGAGGAGAAAATGAGGAAGGATGCCTGGAAAAAGTATGAAGTATTCATATGAATAACTATCTATCTACCTAAAAATATCCCCAGTTTATTTCTGATGCATTCCAAAGTCACTGACACCAGCATCTTTCACCTGAAACAATTCAAAATGAACACAATTAAGTAATACTAACTTCTATTTTATTTTATATAGAGGAAAAATTTTCAATCTTTAACCTACAATTTGAGGAGTTTTGACAGACAACAGCAAACTTTATTATAGACATGGCAAGGATAGGGCATACCTATTAGACTCATAAACTTACAGTAGCAATGACTACCTGGACATTACCAAGAGAGCCCAGACATATCAACATTCCATAACAGATGGAGGAGGGGCCAATAAGGCTCAACACTTCCCTCAGACACTGTAGGCAATTGATGCTGCTGGGGAGGAGGGAGTCATAATTCCTCAGCAGTGTAGCCTCTGGGGCTAGAGAGATGGCTCAGAGGTTAAGAGCACTGACTTATTTCAGAGATCCTGGTTCAATTGCCAGGAACAACATGGTGGCTCAAAACCATCTATAATAAGCTCTGGTGCCCTCTTCTGGTCTGCAGAAGTATATGCAAGCAGAATGCTGTATACATAATTAGTAAATTAAATGAGAGAGAAGAATATAATCGGGATAGATTATTTACATTAATATGAATGAGTAGTAATATCAAAAGAAGAACACTTAGCACCCTTTTCCTACCACCTAGAACATGCACAGAAATCCCCAGTCCCATGTATGCTGTGGTGCCATATCTCAAATGTATCCTGGACTCAGTATGGACTGGGCTGGGGCCAGGCTTTGAGGGAGATTTAGGCTTCTACAAGTTGCTGCAGAAATGACAGGCTCCCATAAAGGGCAGACAGGGGCATCTTGGCTTCCAGATCCCAAGCTGACCTGGGATTATTCAGCTCCATCTCCAGACCACACTCCATCAGCAATTCATAAGTAATGGTCAAGCCTTCACCCTGGAGTGGGGCAAGAAGCTGAGGCTGGAGAGTGAAGGGGATGTTCCAGGGATACTTGAAGTTCGGCTGCAGGATGCTCTTTACCTAGAAGAAGAACTCTCAGGTTGGAAAGACCAGGCTCTGACACCAGAGTGAAAAACCTTCTGTCCTAACAGCCAGGAGCCACACAGGATAATGAACTAAGAAATAACTGAAGCCAGCATGCACTGATTCCTCAGCTCCAACATGGTAATAATAAAACCTATGCTGCACAAGAATGGCGTGTGTGTGTGTGTGTGTGTGTGCGCGCGCGCGCACGCGCACGTGTATGCACATGTCTAGACACACATTTGTATTTACAGATAAACATATGGAGAGAGAAAGGACAACTTACAAATGGCAACTGTAAACAAAGAAGGCTGTAACTACTTTCATCCCCTGAGTTCTTACAGAGTTGCCTTCCTAGGTGGCTAATATAGACCCAGTGGGCCTTGCTTTGAGGCTGCCACAAACACAGAGATGCTCCTGACAAGATCAAACCCCACCTGCCTGCTCCCCAAAGGCAAAGCAACCAGGGGGTTCCCAGCTCCTCTCCTTGTGGAAAATCTATTGCTTTCTGCTAGAATGTTCTTCTTCTTCCTGCTTTCCTCTCCTCCTCCTGGATGTCAGCTCCTAGAGGTTTCTTACCAGCTCTAGTTGATGGAGGAGGAGCCTCTTTTCCATAGACTGGGCCAGCAGCTTGAGTTGTGTGTCACTCAGCACTGGGGGGAAAGACACATGAGGAAACAGAATAACAGACTCAACATTTTCTTCTCACCATGAACAAGGACAGCCAATGAGAGAAGAATTCTAGGACAGCGGAATATGTCCCATTGGACTGGAAGGTCAAGCTCACTGACTTAGAAAGCTCTGCTGTCTTTGGCTAGGCACATGGGAGAGAAAAGAAAACTTACAAATGGCAACTGTAAACAAAGAAGGCTGTAACTGACATTCATCCCCTGAGTTCCTACAGAGCTGCCTTCCTAGGTAACTAATATAGACCAAGTGAGCCTTGCTTCTGAGGCTGCCGCAAACAGAGATGCTCCAGAATGCTAAGTAACATGGCCCAGAGCCTCAAAATCTAAGGTCTGAGGCAGGAATCATCTTCCACCAAGAATGTGCTAGAAGCTTGGTGACTGCTCACTTTCTACACCTCAGACTCTATCTACGGTCCATGGACTGTTACAATTCTGGCCTTGCTGACCTTAGAGAGAAGGGTGATGTGAGAATGACCGTGATAACTCAAGAGCTTTGGGGAGGCGGCATCTGAAACAGCCCTGTGAGAACCAACACAAGGACTCTCCCAGACTCCCCTCGAATCATTCTTACCCATCAGGGCTTGAAGGAGATAAAGAAGAAGGTTCCTGAGGTCAATCCATGGGGGTATGGAGTCCTGTCGCAGCTGATCTAGGATCGCACCACCTGGGCCATCCATATGCCCCAACTGATCCAGTTCCAGCTAGAGGAGACAGATGTTCTGTTAATAACAGCATTCCCAGTGCTGGAGACTGGATGGCTTTATATATGCTGAATGAGTCCTCTGCCATGAAGCTACAACCTGGTTCTTTTTCCCTTCTTTTTTCTCTTTTGTGTGGCAGGGTCTCAGGCTGTTGCCCAAGCCAGATTTGAACTAGCCATGTAGCCCAGAAGGTCTTAAAATAGCAAACCTCCCACAAGTACCTTCAGTTTCCCATATCTGGATCAAATCGTTGATCTGATCCAGATATACCTATGTCCAGAGGAGTTAAGAAAGGTATGGGCTGGGGTTCTTCCTCTCCCTGAACGATCCTGAGCAGAATTCAGGGGCCACACTTGAGCCCTCGTTGTTATGCATGGAGTCAGAATCCCCTATCTTTGACATCTTTCTCAGTCTCCTGATTATCACGTACATTCTTTCTCCCCATGTATGTTGGAATCCTCATCACCCAACTCACCCTTGCAGGTTAGATCATCTCTAGGCAGCTATGGGACTCTTACCATGCTAAGCAGGTCATTCAGATTCTCCCTGTTACTAAGCATGCTCTGAAGGTTAGAGAACACAATTTCTTGAACATCCTTTGGAAGCATGGTCAGTTCCTGTGTTATCTGGGAAACCTCATTTTGTAGGCACTTGAAATCTGCACAAATTGACAGCAACTTGAAAAAACCAATCAGAAAGTGAGAGCAATTCTTCAATTAAACACCTGTGGGATGGTAAGCCCTTGCCCTTCAGGACCATTTCTGGTGGCTAAAAGCATCTCCATTGATAGCCTGCTTGAGCCCCAGTGAGGCAACTCTCAGGAAGCTAGAAAGCACTAGAACACTGGCAGCTTCCGCACTCTGGAAGGAGGGGACACAGCACTGAGAGGGGAGATGGAAATCCTGAAAACTGCTTATCACAGTGGGAGAGAAGTGACCACGTAGGCGTGCATTTCTGGGAGATGTCGGGAAGGAAATGTACTGTAGACCCAAGAGATGACAGTGCTCAGTGGTTCAGGATCAGGTGGCAATGTGACCGATGGAGACATGGTGAGGAGTCAAGGGGTTTGTGTTCACCGGGCACCGGGCATGTAAGAGCTACACTAATTCATAAGTATCCCCACTGTCTATGAAGAATTAGCCCAGCACTGCATTTCAGGATGCTCTGGTTCCCCAAAGTGTCCTACGGGTGATCTGTAGCAGAAGCTGCAAAGACACGGGTGCTTACATCCCAGTATTTCACATTGCATGCTGGAGGAATGCTGCTTCCTCCTAAGTCCTCGCTGTACTCTAGTGCACACAGTTGCACATGTGTGAGTTGAACTAACTACAAATGTGACAGTAGACCTCGGTTTCCTGAATCCCAAAGAAAGTTCTCATTTGACTTCCAAGCCAATGGTTACCTGCCAGACACCCAGGTATCCTCTAAAAAGAAAATGGGGGGGGGGGGGAAGGAAGGAAGGAAGGAAGGAAGGAAGGAAGGAAGGAAACCACTCACCTTGATGGTAAGGTTCTTCTATCCTTCCTAGAAAGAGAAGACAAGTTATCACCTCTCTTCATCCTCACTGTGTCTCTCTCCTGCCATCTCCTCCTGCCCCATTCCCAGTCTATGCTTTCTCCACACCGGCCTTCCATGATCTTTCCCATCCCACAGGGCTAGGGCTGACCACAGGAGCATCACTCAGATCTCCACAACAACTCCACCAGACACACACTCACCAATTGGAGAGATGTAATTGATCTTCCAGTCTAGAAAGAGAAAATATATTGTTCCACCCAAGAATTAGTATTTGACCTTACTTCCCCTGTATCCCTGACATTTCTCTATCTTCCACCCCCAAAATTTGTGCAAAAAAAAAAAAAAAAAAAAAAAAAAACAGAGGTCAAGACCGATGGTAAAGTCAATCAGAAGGGTTTTGTTGTTCAGTTGTCAGCAGGAGGGAGCAGGTTCCACTCTCATTCCCCCAGGACCCTTCACTCACCTAGCTGTCTTAGAGATGATGGCCCTGGAAAAATAAAGTGAAGGGATCACTCATCACGACTCACTCACCCCACCCTCGGACCTTCTCAGCTCCTCCATCCACCCCTGCTTTTCACCTTGCAATTCTACTTTTATGAAAAATTCCGTATGATAAATCCATCCCCAGAAGATCCTGTCCAAAAAAGACATACCTACGACAGTGCTTGCAGAATAGTATATCTCATCCTTGTCTGAGGGAGCAGAACTTCTTAGCATCCTAGGTAGCATACCTAGAAAGTTTTTCTTCTTAGCATCGGCAAAAAGGAGAATGGCTAATGGGAGAGAGACTAGGTTAGGAGAGATGCAGTTGCACATGCTAGAGTAGTTCCCGCACCCCATTTAGGGACCCTCAGGCCAAACCCCAGGGATGCTGTCAACCTAAACACTAGCCTCTTGACCTTTAATTGGTACCTTTGACAGTTATCCTGAAATTTTTATTTTATTGTATTGTATTATGTTTGTTTATGGTGTGTGCATGCATGCCACGGAGCACAAGCAGAGGTCAGAGGACAACTCTGGGAGTCAGTTATCTCCTTCCAACACCTGGGACCTGGAGGTGGAACTCAAGGCATCAGGCCTGGCAACAGACACCTTTGCCAGCCGATCCAGCTCACCAGCCTGAATCCTGCATTTCAAATAAGCATCGTCCCCTGTGACATTCAAGAATTACCCATGAGGGCTGGAGAGCAAGATCAACCATTAAGAGTCATTGCTGCTCTTGCAAAGGACCTCAACACAAGGCAGAGCCCTCTTCTGGCCTCCTTGGGACATTGCATGCACATTGTACACAAATGCAGGCAAAACACAATACTCACAAAAGAGAAATAAACAAATACTCCGTGAGGTAAAGCAGACTGGCTTCCTCCTGCCCTGTCATGTAGGCTTCTTGTTAGCCTTCGGTTACTACCTGGCCCTTCCTTATCCACTCTTAGTCTGGCGATCTTTCACTGTTTGAATTATATTCAAAGCGATGTGCTGAGGGCTGAAACTTCCTACCAACAAAGTTCAATCCTTTGACACATGAAATGAGGCTAGGAAGAAAAATGACACCATTTAAGTTGTGAACTAAATTAAATTAAACAAAAACTTCAAAAAGTGTCTGCAAGTCACATTCTGAGCACTAGGGGGCAAGCAGGGCATCTTGTTTACAAAATCAGTCATAGTAGAGAATGAAATCCAAGTGGGACCACGTGCTGAAAGCCAAACACAAATTTACTCCTCATAACAGAACAAATAGAAACTAATAATTGTCGCATCACTGGCCATTCACTTCAGGGAAAACTGGCCTTCTCCTGTGTAAGGGGAAATGATCCTTCCCCACAAGGTGACAAGAAGACAGAGTAAGTGACCAGCAATGCATCTGGTCCCATCCTGTCTTCACTCCTTCAGTTCACCAAGCTCTTTCCTAACCTGACAACAGTTTCTGCACCTTCAGAAGCCCTCACCTCAGAGTCCCCTCCCATCATCCCCTCCTCTCACACAGGTCCCCTTTAGTCAGCTCCAAGTGCCCTCCACATAGAACATCACTTCTCTCCTTCCGTGCGCACCTCAACCTTTGCAGTTTATCTTCCAGAGAAACTCGCCTAGGTTCGGCCTACACGAACATGGCCTTGGTTTCCTGGGTACAACATCTGATCTAAACAGAACTGGATTTTTTTTACTGTTTGTTTGTTGTTAATATTTTTATTAACAGGTTCATTTTCTTTTCCTTTTTAAATGAAAGCTCTTTTCACTTAGCATGATCTGTGACAGAAAGGACCTCTCCCCCAGTCATTTCAAAGGCATCTGCGACCTTGTACCCATTCCCTGCCCTATAACTCAGTCAAGGGTGTTTGTAGAGTGTGGACAATCTTCCTCTAGAAGCCATCATCCACTAACTGTACCATACTGTAAATGTTTCCTGGTCTATTGCTGCCAACTAGAGGATTGACTCCAGAACTTTCCCTTGGGCACGATTTACAGAGTAGTTATTTCAGGGGTGTGTGTGTGTGTGTGTGTGTGTGTGTGTGTGTGTGTTGAGGGATTGTACGTTTCAAGGTAAAGCCATGGGGAAACTCCTGTGTCCTGCTGTTCAGGCATCTGCCTACAGTTTCGTATGTGTTGTGTTTCCATCATTTTATGGAGCATTGATGGGGTTTAAGGATCAGCTGGTGGGCCTGTGGCTCCCTAATGAGCTTCTGCGAGTACCAAGACGATGAATGACTAGAGAAGGCTGAGACTAGGCCCGGGCTTCATCCAGCTAAAGACACCTCCATTGAGGACCCCACATTAGAAACCTTCCCATGGAGGAGGCAGTGCCTGAGCTTGGCCATGCTTGGCAGTCGCTAAGGATGGTGGGACATGTGCCTTGAAGAGTGAGCACTGCCCCTCCTAGTGTAGAGTCAGGAAAGAAGAGGAGGTTCAGGACTTTGGACACCCCACTCCCACTTGCCCCCCACATCTTCTCACCACAAGTGTCATTCTCAATGACAAGTTGCTTCTTCTTGTAGGCCACCACCGCACCCTTTTGGATAGGCACTGAATCCGTTGTCTCCCTTTGCCACTGTCCCTGGGCTTGAGCCTGGGGAGACAAGACATTTCCAAAGTTTTATAGCATTTTGTCTCATAAAAATTATATTTACTTTTAATCAAGGCAACATATGCCTGTAATTTTAAAATCAGATAAACTTAGGAAGCTCATGACAAAACACTAGCAATCCCTCACTTCCCCTTCCTCCTGGTCCCCGTGTCATGACAATATTCACCTACATTGAATTTCAGAAGGTGTGCCTGGAGAGGCCGGGCAGTTGGGCCCAGAGCACCATGATACCAGGCCAGTATTTACCACTGAGCCACACAACCAGCCCTATTACAATATCTTGATTTTTCCAAACTAGGGATATGATTTCCTGTCTCCCTCTGAGTTGAGGGTCTCATTCTCCTACTTGGCCCTCAGTGCTTACTGCTCCCCCCGTATTCACATCTGGGTTTCTGGGTAGGTGCGTGTTCTCTGTCAGCTGTTGGGTGAGACTGCTTCTCCTCATTCCAGATCGTGTCTCCATCAGGCAGTGTGATGTCCTCTGTCTTTTCTGTCCTGTTACCGATTATCTTCAGGGACCTGAGAGGAACACGCCTGAAAAACTTCATACCTAAAGGCATCTTTGCCTTGCATTTGGTTCACAACTGGAGGAGATAGAATTTGAAGGTGGAAGTCCTTGGAATTTAAATTGTTTTCCTTTTTATGTACAAATTCCTTTACTTGAATATGGTTTAATGTTTGAGAATTTCATATATTCATACAATGTATTTTGATCGAACTCATACCTCATTAACTCATTTCCAACTCTTCTCTTATCCCATCCCCCATCACTTTCCCTTCCCAACTTTTTGAGCTCTTTTTGTTTTTTGATTTTTACTAAACTCAATGAGTTCCTTTAGTGCTGCCAGACCATGACTCTGGGCCATAGCAGGATGTCCAAGAGAATCTTCATTTAGGGTCCAGTATTGATGGTCTACCAGAAGCCAAAGGCCTTGAACCTGAGCAGCAACACACTACACAATGAGCATTTGCAAGTAAAGCTGTTTGGACAAAAGAGTAGGCTGCAGGATACACAGAAGCTCCCACCGCCACTAAGATGAATGAGGAGGTGATGGGGAGGCAGAAGAGATCTTCAAAGAACAAAGTGGTTTTTCGGTATTATTTTGTTTCGTTTTATTGTTTTTTTTCTTTGTTTAATATTCGTACCTGTGGTTTTTATTTTTTGCTGTTTCTCTTTATTATTTTTTTTGGTTTTACATTTTGTTTGTATGATATTCTTATTTGTATTTCCATATCTTATTTTTATTATTTCTTTTTAAGTTTTCCTTTGGGGGGATGTTCCAAGGATTAAGGACAGATAGAGAAAGATTAGAAAATGAGTGGAATTGGGGTATTTGATGTGAAATCTCAAAGAATCAGTAAAAACTTATGTTTAAAAAATAATTCAAGACCAGAAGTTAGCATATACTACATACAAACGGGGAGAATAAGGGACCTCGCCCTGTGAGCCCTAGAAACTGCAGTCCAGAGCCCTTGAGAAGCCAGACTACCCTGGCTACACTGGCTGTTTTCTTCCCATCTCTAGCCCATACCTTGGCAACCTGGGGGATGAGTGCTTTTCCTGACAGGTCTACACTGCTACTGCCTTCCAGCACAGTGTCCTTGGTCACTTCAAAGGCCTCCGTCACCACATACAGGTCCTTCCTTCCCATCCGGCAATCCTTCACAAATGATGGCTCCTTATCCAGAAGTTTCCTGAAAGTGTAAAATGAGAATGAAAAGATCTCTGACTTCATAGAAACAGAGACCACATCGTGAGGAAAAACAAAACAAACATAAAACAGGAACTGTGAGCCAGCCTCTGGGCACAGAAGAGATTGAGTCAGGTTCAGGCTGGGGATGTGGCTCAGGCTATAAAGTGTTCACCATGCACATGTGAGGACATGAAGTCAGATTCCCAGAAGACACATTAAAGTCCAACGTAGTCATAGCTGACTATATGCAACATCCGCTTCAAATCGGCTAAGGGAGTAGACAGTAAATGTTCTTGTCATAACAATAACAGTTACTGAACTGGCAGGATGGCTCAGCAGGTAGAAGTGGTTGTTGGCATGAGTTTGGTTCAGAGACACAAATAGCAAAGGGAGAGACCTGACTCCTGCAAGTTGTCCTCTGACTTCCACATTTGAGCCATGGCATGAGGATGCAAAGGCATACACACACACACACACACACACACACACACACACACACTATATGAATAAATATAATTTAAAAAATTTAAATAATGGCTACCAGATAAAGTAATAATATGTTACTGACTTATATGCACAAATCACACCAAAATGCTGTACATAAACATGAATTTCTACTTGTAAATTATATCTCAGAAGAGATGTCATAAAAGTCAATGAAGTCCCAAAGGGCTGGAGTGTTCAAGTGATTGTTACAGACTTCTTTACATTTTAATCAGTATTCTAACCACTTACTTCTACGATTCTCTCCTCATTACAGGCCCATCCTCTGGGCAATGAATAGAAACCTCTATCAGATCAGAATCTTTATCTGTCTGTCTTGTTTTCTGGTTCCTGTCACCAGAATAGGTAATTCTGTATTGATGAGTATTATTAGGGCACTATAAGCCATTATTTCAATGACTTGTAAAAAAAATTAAACAGAATAATGTGAGTTGTCATAAAACCTGCTAGATGCCTCTTAACCTACAACATCACATTCCAAAACATGGTTGAACCTTCCTTTCACCTGTTTTGAAGACTTTCCAGGTTTGAATCTGGGATGCTGGTACACCGAACCTCAATTTCATATCCACAGGACTTAGCATAAGCTGCGGACACACTTCCTTCTGCGATGGCATTGACCCCCGTGTTAGCCTTCAGTTTCTGGGACACAGTGTGTTTGAGGGGGATGGGAGCTGACACCTCAGGCTCTGAAGAGGAAAGGGGACAGAAGTTTAGCCAAGAATTCACTGTGGAACAGCTTCTTTGGAGAATGGGAAATAGGAGGCTATTTCCCCTCCTCACTTAAAACTTAGTCAAGAATATAGCTAGTAATTACACATGTAATATATAAGAATTAATATCTGAAATATAAACTACTGCAGAGGGAAATTTTCAGACCAATGCAAGCATTGTCTTAATTCTAAAAAAAGAAAATCATCATTTGTACAGTGTCTAGGAGTCCCCTGAGATTATCTTTCCAAATACAGAATCCAGCCCCAGGAAAAGAAAACTACCTAGGACTTGCAGACAGACTGGCCTCAGTCTGTATTCTAATTCTACCAGTTTGAACCGTGTAACTTTGAACAAGTCATTTTAGGAACCTCAGTTGATTTTTTGTAACATGGGCATCATATCTCTATCTAAAGAGGCTTTTGGAAGTGTTAAACAACCAAATGCAAGGAGGGGTCCAGAAAATGAGTGGACCTTCCTTGTCCATGCCCTTATGCAGGACGGCTCATGAGCTACCTGTCTAGGTACCTCCTGGGTTCTGGGGAGCTGCGCTACTTCTCTGCCCCTTGGCTGACAATACCTGGAACTGGAAGATTTGGCTCTAAGATCTGCAGGAGGGAATATCCAACTGGAGTATCTTCAGATTTCCAAAACAGGGACTGAGGAGTCCTCTGCAGTATCGCAAATTGCCGGAACTTCATTGCATCTGACAGACGGGTGACGGGACTCAAATCTTTCCCTTGAAGTTTTTTGACCACGTCCTTGCAAACCCAGTCAAATGAGTAGGGCATGTTGCTAACATCAGACAGAAGGAAGTGCAAAGTTTAGTTAAGAAGAAAAGTTTAGTTGACTCTCAGTGATTCCTGGTATTTTTCATAAACCACCAAAGTGAGAGCCCACACATCAGCACTCAGCAGAGATATACACATCCAAGTAATCCTTGAACTACTCCAAATAGTCAAGATACAGACTCAGGCTAGAGACTCATCAAAAGATGAAAGGAGCCAGGAACCTGGGACGAAGTGGGCCTGGGACGGTGAACTCCAAGGGAGCAGGAGTAGATCCAGACCAGGGACATTTGTGGAGCAGTGAGCTCCATGGGAGCAGGACTGAGTCAGCAACCTAGACCAAAGCAGGCCTGAGAGGGCAAGCTCCACGGAAGTGGGAGCAGATCCAGACCTGGGACATTTGCAGAAGCAGGACTGAGCCAGAGACTTGGGCCTGAGCAGACCTGAAATAGTGAAGTCCACAGGAGCAGGTCCAGAGGAGGAAATTCTGAACGATTGGGCCAGAGCCTGAGGCCACTGCGGGTGTGGGCATGAATCTGGCACCTTCAAGGGAGTAGACCTGAGCCAGGACCTCCAACAGAGAAATAAGGGAAATAACAGATGTTATGACTCAAAAGGACTTAACAGCAATCTATAGAATATTCCATCCAAACATAAGATATACCCTCTTCTGAGCACCTCATGGAACCTTCTCAAAAATTGATCACATACTCAGTAACATAACAAACCTCAACAGATACCAAAAAATGGAATAACCCCATGTATCTTATCAGATCACCGTGGCTTAAAATCAGAATTCAACAGCAATACTAATTCCAGAAAGCCCACAAACACATAGAAATCAAACAATGCTCATCTGAATCATCAATGCGTCAAGGAAGAAATAAAGGGAGGAATTAAAGACTTCCTAAAATTCAATAAAAATGACCATACAACATACCCAAATTTATGGAACACAATAAAAGCAGTGTTAAGAGGAAAGTTCATAGCACTAAATGCCTACATAAAGAAGCTGGGAAAATCCCACACTAGTGAATTAACAGAACATTTGAAAAATTTAGAACAAAAAAAACAAATTCACCAAGAGAACTAGAAAAGAGGAAATAATCAAATTGAGAGATGAAATCAACAAATTAGAAACAAAGAAAACAATACAAAAATCAATGAGACAAAAAGTTGGTTTTTCGAGAAAATCAACAAAATAGACAAACCTTTATCCAAACTAACCAAAAGGCAGAGAGAGAATATACAAATTAACAAAATCAGAAATGAAAAGGGGGATATAACAACAGACATGGAGGAAATTCAGAGAATCATCAGGTCATATATCAAAAACCTGTACTCCACAAAATTGGAAAACTTAAAAGAAATGGACAACTTTCTGGATAAATATCACTTACCAAAATTAAATCAAGACCAGATAAGCAAATGAAATAGACCTATTGGTGCTGAAGAAATAGAAACAGTCCTCAAAAGTCTCCCAACCAAAAAAAGCCCAAGACTAGAAGGTTTCAGCTCAGAAATCTACAAAATTTTCAAAGAAGAACTAATACCAATACTCTTCAAATTGTTCCACACAATAGAAACAGAAGGAACATTGCCAAACTCTTTTTATGAGGTTACAATTACCCTGATACCAAAACCACAGAAGGACATTACTAAGAAACAGACCAATCTCACTCATGAACATTGATGCAAAAATGCTAAATAAAATACTGGCAAATTGAATCCAGGAACACATTAGAACCATGATCCACCATGATGAAGTCAGCTTCATCCCAGAGATGCAGGGATGGTTCAACATATGTAAATCTCTCAACATAATTCACCATATAAACAAACTGAAAAATCAAAAGCACATGATCATCTCATTAGATGCCAAAAAAGCTTTTGACAAAATACATCCCTTCATGATAAAGGTCTTGGAGAGAGCAGGGATAAAAGGAACATACCTAAACATAATAAAGGCAATATACAGTAAGCCAACAGCTAACATCCTTTAAATACTCAGGAGGCAGAGGCAGGCAGAGTTCTGTGAGTTTAAGGCCAGTCTGGTCTACACAGCAAGTTCTAGAACTGGCTCCATAGCTACTGAGAAACTCTGTTTCAAAAAACAAAAGCAAAAAATCTCACCCCCCCCCCAAAAAAAATGAACAAAAAAACCAGATATCAATCAAGAATCACAATTATAATATTTAGTCTATTTTGATCTGGCTAAATTAAAGAAGATATTCTATCATTTTTATCTTTATGAGTCTAAAGTTTTATATCTAATTTATCTTTTTTCATAACTAAGGAAAACTATAATCATAACTATCTAATTGTCAAATTGATCAAAGACCCCAGAAGGACATAATATTACCTAAGTAAACAGGAGATGCATTGTAAGCAACTTCCAAAACTCTACAATTGAAAGAGACATTTATTCAATACTGTGACTTATTTGTCTTTGTTGCCTGAGTCTGTCTTATTGTGTATCTGTAATCATTTTCTGACCAGATAGGTTTTTTTTTTAAATGCTAAGCAGGCATGGCTAGGACTAATACTGTAGCTTTGCCTGTTGGTTCTGACATATCCAAAATAAAAGAGGTTTTTTTTACCACCTCTGCAAACCATGTTCACCCTAGCTCCAGGGATGCAATAGGTCTATGTCACCATTAAGCAACTTGTAGCACTCTACTTCAAATGCCATGTAAGTGCTCTGTAGCAGGACCTCCTGAAAGAACCACTATTCATGCTGCCAGTACAAACCAGGAAGCAGTCTCTTAAAGAAGCTGCACCTCTGCTTATGGCCAACAAACAGAATCTATGTAAAAAAAAAAATGCAACTACCAAAAAACTCCAATTGACTTCCATTTTTGTAGGTCTAGAAGCCCCCCTCCTTTTTTTCCTAAAGCTTTCTTAGGCTTTATGTGGATATACCTTGTCCTATGTTGGGTGCCATTATATAGAATGAGACTGCACTTTTGTTTCCTGGCCACCCACACCAGAATAATCACACAAAAGCTATATTAATTACAACACTGTTGCACCAAAAGCTCAGCATATTCCTACATAGCTCTTGCATCTTAAACTAACCCATTTATATTATATTCTATTTTACCATGAGGCTCATAGTTTGTTGTCTCACATTTTGCTTCTTGGGTGGCTACATGGCATCGGTATGACTCTACCTTCTTTCTCCCAGCATTCAGTTTAGTTTTCCTGCCTAGCTATATTCTACCCTGTCATAGACCAAAGCAGCTTCTTTATTAACTATTGGTAATAAAACATATTCCCAACATAAAGAGGGGAATTCTACATCACATATGTGCATATGAAGGAATGTAATTATCATTGAGTGACTCTGACAATCACTCACCATCTTCCATATGGAGGTAAAGTCTCTTGCTGACACCAGAGTTCCCCATTTCAGTTAGTCTGAGTAGTCAGCTTGTCTCAAAAATACCATATCTATATGCATGCCTATTACATGCTGCGATTACAGGTGGGCACCTTGCCAGCTGGGTTTAAAGTGAGTTCTAGGGATTAGAAGTCTGACCCTCACACCTGCACAGCAAGTGCTGTACAAGCTGAGCCATATCCCTAGGCTCTTTTCTTAATATAATCACTCAATGGTCTGTTCATTCCAAAACTGAAGGATCTATGAATTCATGAGGCCAACTGTACTACCAATGAGAAAAAAGGGAACATAATCAAGGCAAAGAATGATCTAAGTAGATTTGTGACATTGAAAATTTCCTCAGCAGAATGTGACTTACTTTTGATGCTATTCATAGCAAAGTTCAAATAAGAGATATTCAAAGCTGACAGTGGGATGATGACAAGATTGCTGCATAATCAAAAAAATAATGATGGGTTTTATGTGGGTCATGAGAAAGACAGAGGAGTGCACAGAAGTTCAGGGCTTCTAGATTGGGCAATGGAGGTGCTACCATTTCCCTGAGTGCCATTTCCAAGTGGAGAATAGAAATTAGTTCATCCCTCAGCACCTTGAGTTTGAGAGCCAGGGAAGGATGAAATCATACAGTCTTACAAACCAGCATGCAACAGTAGAAACTGTCATGGAGATAAAATGCTTGAGACATAGATGTGTGGGTGAAAATAAAAATCTTGGTTGTAGATACTCGTGAATTTGCATATATCAACAGGTGTTACAGCACTTTGTAGAAAAGATTAAATAAGAGTAATCTGCTTACATCAATTTCTTTAGAGCAAAGAACAAGATTCTTGGTGAGAGGGAACTGCATTTTGAATGATATGACTATAAGAAAGCAAGAATTGTCACTGATCATGCAAAAGTTCTCATGTGCCCACTGTCAATTATGTCCCCAACATCAAACCTGACATAGATGGGTCAGAGACCAGCCTTTACCCTTGCATGCTCTCATGAGCTCCCTACTGACTCTCTTAGGGAGAACTTAAGGAAAGAATGCTTCCTTCTCTGCAGGTCACATTATATAGAAACAACCATCAACTCAGTTCACAGCCAGCCTGAAGAACCCTCTGTAACCACACAGCCTTCTCTCCTTACTCCTTCGGCCCCAACAGCACCTACCAGGTTGAAGTAGGTTTTCGTCCTCTGGAGAGAGCTCAATTGAAAGTGACTCCTCTCAGTCCTTGGGCCTTCTGAGTCAAGAACAGCTTCTACAAACTCCAGGACCAAAGCAATGTAATTCTCTTCACTGTGCTTCCTTCATTTTAAACAAGTTTGAGTCGGTTTTCAATGCAATATTCTGGACATGTAAGCACACATGACCTCTTCTCTCTAGGAACAAAGCTCTGAACATAGAATTAGTGTTCAAATGCACCATCCAAAAGATCAGCACCAGAGAGCAGCGGAAGGTGTACCTTCAAGACTCTCCTGGCCCAGAGAAGGGAGGAGTCTGAGGAAACCAGCTGAACAAGTCTGGTTCCCGATTTTCAGGAAACTACTATTCCCTCACCTTCTGACGCATGTGATTGCGACATGCGGCTACACGATGAGAAGAGAATGACTGCGC